GCCCCTGATGGGGAGGACTGGGCTGGCTCTGCGGGCTTCTGGGGGTGGAAGCTCTCCTGCAGCCCCCCAATTGCCCCCTCTCCCCAGATGGCAGCCTGCGGCAAGTGCAGCCAGGCTGATGGCCGAGTGGTGTGATGTGCCCAGTGTGGGCACTCTGGGCACTCCAAGCCAGGAATGGTTTTCAAGCAGGGCACCCCTGAGAACTGTCTGTCCGGGGTGGGGGTCGGGTCCCTTTAAGCGCAGCCCTCAGCTAGCCTGAGACAGCATCTCCACGCTCTAAGTCCTCCTCTGATGCCCTGCCGGCACTGCTTCCGGCCATCCTTAAGCCCTGTTCAGGGTCCACTCAATGTGGACATGCTAGTTCGAATTAGCAAAACGCTAATTCGAACTAGTTTTTAGTTCTAGATGCGTTAGTTCGAATTAGCTTAGTTCGAATTAACTAATTCGAAGTAAGTTAGTTCGAATTAGCGCTGTAGTGTAGACGTACCCAAAGTGTTTTACAGGGAAGATAGGGATTACTATCGCTGTATGAGTCAGAGGTATGAAAAGATAAAGTGGTTTGCTCTAGATCATGGTGCAGGTCAAAGGCAGAGACAGAAATGGATCCCAGAACTCATGATTTCTAGACTAGTGCCCTATGAACTGGACCACACTACCTCACAGAACCTATCTCCAGATTTTATACAAAATTAAACTTGCCATAGAGTAAATATATTTTTAATTTATCTCTTGAACATCTCTACACTACAGATTGGCATGTGTTGTTAAATGCTGATGGCAAGCTCCTCAATGTTTCTGTCCCTGGAGCTCCAGAGTTATCAGTATTAGCAGCCAATGCATCCTGCTAATTTACCAGACCTTGATGTTACCCATAAAGAAAGATCACAGGCAGAGTTTGATGATAAAGGCATTCAGACAGGTTTATTGCCTTCAAGGCACAATCCTAGCACCCTACTCTGGTTACAAGTATGCTAACACATCCCTATTCATTATTCTTATCTTGTGCTAAATTGGAATCTATCTATACTGGCCTTATATGTTCATATTTAATGTCTGATAGGCTAGCAACAATTTTGCCAAGTTCATGTACTGGAAGTGAACTTGTGAGCATCTGCTTTAATACATGGCCTGACTTTGGTTTGCACCTTTTGCCTAGACCTTTGATCTTTGTACACCAAGCCCACTACTTCAGACTCCCTCTTTCTACTACAGCATGATACCTCAGACTTTCCAAGTCTAACACATCAATGCTTCAATAAAATGCCCATATCCATTGTGCATTTGTACAATGGGAGAACATATATTTTGTATAATGTGAATTAAGAGTAAAAGTTTTAACTTCAACTCCAAGAGACTATGTTTTAATAGTTATACCATTATACCATTAAACAAGAACAGATGGGCTGTGTCTACACTGGGCCACTTATTCCGGAAAATCAGCCGCTTTTCCGGAATAAGCTGCGAGCTTTCTACACTGGCCCTTAAATTTCCAGAAAAGCAACGATGCTCTACTGTACAAAATCAGCCGCTATTCCGGAAAAACTATTCTGCTCCCGCTCGGGCATAAGTCCTTATTCCAGAACACTGTTCCAGAAAAGGCCAATGTAGACAGCCCCGTAGTCTTTTCCGGAAAAGCACGTCTACATTGGCCACAGACGCTTTTCCGGAAAAAGGGCTTTTCTGGAAAAGCAGCCTGCCAATGTAGACACTCCTTTTCCGGAAAAACTGAAAACTGAATAGTATTCCGTTTTAAGCAGTTCTGGAAATTCATGCCAGTGTAGACACAGCCATGAAGTATAGTGGGAGACGAGGAAATAGCCTTGCAACTTAATAGTGTTATTTTCACTGATAAAGTTTTATTTGGTGGAAAATAGTAACCAGTTCCAGTGAGCAATGGGAGTCACTAAGGGCATGTCAACACTACACGGAAGATCGATGCTGCCGCTGCTCTCTGGTATGAGACTTGCAAAACTGTGGACTTTAGTAAAAGTCCCAGGAATGACCATGCACACCAGCAGATAAGGAAGGAGCCAGCAGCTTTGCAAATTTATCAGACCAATGACCAATGCAGGGAGTGGATTAATCATCTTGAGAGTGAGTACTGGAAGACGAGGGACCAGAACTTCACCTTGGGAAACTCATGAACATTTTATGCACTTTTTATGAGGCATGTGAGTGCTGGGCCCTGTGCCCTGTGCAGAGCCAACCAATGTGCATGATGACCTGCTCAGCCAGGACGGTGCCCTGCTGGCTCCAGAATCCAACATGGGGATGGATGAAAGCCAGTAGCAGACACCCACAGAGGACCTAGAAGCAATTCCTTTTCTGAAACTGTTCCAGAGCAGGCTTTGGAACAGTATTAGTAGCAAATTATGGATCCATACTCAGAGAAGTTGTTTGATAGCTCCTCAAGGAACATCTCGCTGTTGAGCCTGACGTAGACAATGAAGGGACAGAAGCCATCCCTGAGTTTGGTTAGTTTCTGGATCCAGTGTAATAGTTATTGCTACATTAATGGGAGACATTTCTGATCAAGGAACCAATGCAAAAGATGTAAGAAATATGCCACTAGCTAGGGCATTTGCCAATGGTAGATGGTATTCTAGTGCCTTGATGTGCCCCTTCCTCTACCATCACAACATGGAGTTCAGAAGTATGCATGGGAAACACAAACATTAAAGGACACCTTTAATAAGTATTTTTACCTGAAAGGCACATTTTTTTGCCAGAGCCATTCCTGTTTCTTAAAATTAATAGCATCACACTGCCCAGCGTTTAAGCTTGCCACTCTGATCCTCAACTGTCTATGGAGCTGCCAGAAACAAGGAACTGTGGGTATGTCTACACTACCCTCCTAATTCGAACTAGGAGGGTAATGTAGGCATACCGCACTTGCAAATGAAGCCCGGGATTTGAATTTCCCGGGCTTCATTTGCATAAAGCCGTCCGGCGCCATTTTTAAATGCCGGCAGTTCGAACCCCGTGCCGCGCAGCTACACCCGGCACGGAGTAGCTAGTTCGGATTAGGCTTCCTAATCCGAACTAGCTGTACTCCTCATTCCACGAGGACTTTTCCATGTACTTTTCCTTCTCCTCTTCCTCCTCTATCAGATGCCTTTGGTGGGTCATAAAATGTCAAAATGTACCTCACAAAAGCTCTCCCTGTTTCCTGACACATGAGTGAAAGCACAAGAGAGACCTTCTTGGAGAGGGGTCTCCATCTTACTCGACAAGCTGTATTGTCAGGCTGTTCAAACTCCCTGTAGCATGCAGGCTGAACAGTAAAGATCTCCCACAATGAACCATATTCAAAGGACCACAGCAGCTATATTTCAGAAAGACACTAGGGAATCTTGGAAATGGTTGGTTTTGCTTGAGTCTAAGTAGTTTTTTGAGGAAGCCAGAACCACAGGTTCAAACCCTCTATTAGAAAAGTCTTAATGTAGTGTTAAGAATCCGTGTAGACACTGAAGCCCTATCTTCTCTAATATGGATCAGCTGATTCAAATCCCACTGAATTTGGGCTTACAGTGTAGTGTACCACTCACTAGTTCACCCCAATTTAATTGGCCGAAATGCCCTTTGCCTCAGCCCATTTGAATATATGAATACTGTATATATTATTTGTTTTAATTTTAATGTTAATTTTAATGTATACTATATATCTGGATACCATCACTTCGGTAATTTTTCTTTTTGTACTCTGATGTTCAAGAGCCAATAGAAGCACATAAAAACCTCTCCAGTTTTGTAGTGTTTGGCTCCATTTAACTTGGCTCCATTTAACTGGGCTGTTACTATTCCTGTACACGTCAAGTTTTGCTCTTAATCATATTCCTTGTATAATAATAGACTTTTTCAATAAAGAAAATGTAAAGAAAGGACAATATGTTAAGTGTGGAGTAAATGAAATATAAAACAAAATATGAATTCAACTATGGAAAGTATTTAGAGACATGAGAAAGTCTGAAGAGTTTTTAAGGTTATAATTTCACAAGGAGATGGAAACTCAACTATAAACCATTCTTCTTTGATAATTGTTTAGAGCCACTATTTATTCAAGTTTAGTCCCATGCACTCCAATCTCATTCAAATTTGTTTCTGATATGACAATCAAATGTAATGTATTATGGCTTGCAATGTAAATAAAGTCCATTATAATAATTTTTGTTGCAAAAATATCACCTTAAATCAAACACTCAGGAAGCATGTAAGTGTGGGCAGTGGTACTAAATATTATTTAATTTTGTTTGTAAAATTAGTCTAAAATTGAAATGTAATTGTGTGATTTAACTTAAATATTGTGGGTTTTATCTTAACCCAAGTGTAACTTTCACACAGATTTATGCCTAAGAAATATTGGAAATAGAATCTCCAAGTCATACCCTCAACATACCTAGAGTACTGAAGTATACTTTTTATTCACTTTGGTAGTTAATCAAGTAGCTATTTAAAAGTGGAATAAGTAGCTCCACTCTATTAACAGCTACCATTGACTGAACAGCAGGGTACTCACCAGCAGCGATGAAAATGCCTCCCCCTGCTTTGTACAGGATATGGCTGGCAAAGGGAGCTGCACAGATGATGAAGAAGCTTCCCACCAGAACAGTGATCACTCCCAGGAGCATGAGTACACTCCAGACACCACGATAAACTGGATACCCCGAAAAGGGGGGAAAGAATACAAATATCCTTAGAACTCAAATACAGTTTTGTAGTAAAGATTTTTTTTTCTCTCTTTTTTTTTAATTACAGGTGGAATCTCTCTAGTCTGCCACCTGATCAGTGCCGAACCAGTGAATTTGCTGGACCACAAGCAGTCAATATTGTCTAGCAGCATTACCACCACTTGCACTGCTTACAGGACTCAGAAGATATTTAGGGATAAATTAGAGCTAAATAACAGCACAGAAAACTGAGCGCCAGGACTTAGCAATCTTTATGGACCATGGGAAACTTGGACACACCCATGATAAATGGGTATACAGCTAACTAAAATCATGCCGGACCATGGATGTTGCTGGCCCACAGAGTGCCAGACTAGAGAAGCTCAGCCTGTATCAAATCAAACAATAATTCCAGGACTACTTCCACTAAGAATATATTGTACAATAGGGACTGAATTATGTTTGAACCCTAGATTATATTTTTTGATCATGAAACATACAGTAGAGGGGTATGAAACCATGGTGCTCTATATTTGCACAATGTATGTATATATTCATTTACTTGACCAAATGTAAGTAGTTTAAAAAATGGTGCACAAAAATGGTAGCCAGGAAAATATGGATCTCTGCTCAGTTTAACTGAATACAATTACCAAAGTTAAAGACTGAAAAAAAGAAGTAACATATTGAAATTCTTAGTGCTGGGCCAATATTACCACTAACAATCTGTCCTGAATAAGTTTTAAGAAAACCTAACACAGCAAAACCAGAAAGAAAAATGTAAACGATGCTTCTGAAGACCAACTAAGTGCTTTTAATCAAACTCTTTCTGTCAAAGCGCTTTGTACTTTATTAAATGTAAAGTTTTAGAAAACTCAGTTAGTCAAGGACAAGCAGTGCTGAATTAATGCATGAAGCTGGTGATAAATGGGCTAAGAGTTTTTAACAGACATTTGCCAAAAAAGTGTTTCTAACAATAATTTTAACTGGTTAATTGCACATCTCTTAAGCTAAGACATCATTTGACAAAGACTAACACAGCAAAATAAATTCCTCTTGTAAATGTAAGAAAGAGTGCACTAATGCAGCCCATTAGCCAAATTAGAAGTTGTTACAATCTCTAATTCTGGGTCTGAAAATTGCAAAGTACCGGAAATTCATTCAGTAAAAGTATTTCCATCTGGCTAAGAAAAAGCATGTAAACCAAATAGTGTCTGAGAAAAAGTGGCTTCTTAGTAAGACTGACCAATTGGTTTTACTGTTGTTGGCACGACACAACTAAGCAGCTTTTACATTTGGATTTGTAAACTGAAATTTTCTAAAGCTCTTTAGAGTCAACCACTCAAATTTTATCAAAATGAGGCTTTTTAAGATATATTGTTCAAAGGTATAAGTTACCACTTTCTAAGTAATATGTTTCAACAGTCTCTAGGCTTTAACTTAACAGGATAATTTGTGCTGAAATATGCGCTTTTATGCCCACACTAGACTTTTAGAATGCATCAGTTATAATATGTTAACTACAGTAATACCTTCTTGTTAATAGATCTTAAATTATTAATCAGACAAAGTTTGAAAGAGGTAATCATCCATGGGCCAGCTCAGGAGTAGAAACGACTGACCTTCCATCATCTGTCCTAAAGTAGCTATCAGAGAAATTGACTCTATTTTTAGGTTTACATCCAGTGCAAAAGATTATTTCTTCTCAGATAAACACTGATGGAGATATCTCCTGGGAAGTAGGGCCCCATTCAGTAAACCTCTTAAGCACCTATTTAAAAGTATACACAATACTTACATGATTTATTTAATGGACAGTGAATCAGAGCTTTAAGGAATATATTTCTAAAGGCCTTCAGTCTTGGGCCTTTGAAGTAGTGTCATACTGTGATATTCACATGGGTAGCTCTGGAAACTTCATCACAGTCTTCAGGACCATTGCCATTAGTTTCCCATTTGGAACCTAAGCTCCTAAACTAGTCTATAACCACTCAATTATTTTGAATTGATGGCTCCGGGGATTTAAAAGTTACATATACAAAAGGACATATTGGAAAATCAGACCCGGCAAAAGTTTTCTTCTGTATCTTTATGGTTTGTAAGAAAATTCACATGGAATTATTTCTGTTTTCTGAGTGTACAAGAACACAAATGCATCCAACATAAAAATGTTGGTATGTAATCTGAATATTTATTTTCCAGAACTACTAATACAAGCAGCTTTGAAATTTGTTTTCTGTGAAAATTCTACTAGAAAACTTTGATTTGCTCAAATGTTCATGGAAGCTGAACAAAAAAGGAGTACAAATATAACTAATTTAGATTCAGTGAAACCTTCACATCAATTTGCATAAGAAAAGTTTTCCCGGTTCTACTAACATAACTGTTTTATTAGTTATAAACTAAATTCTATTGACATCTATTCCTACATCAAACAATACATTACCAATTTTGTACACTAGAAAGTGAAGCAAGGTTGATGTAACTTTGCAAAACCAAAAACTGGAATTTTTCAAATCCACTTTTATTTGCCAAAAATTATGTAAATCATTGTCTCCTGAAAGGGAAAAAGCAAAAGTCATGGAAAAAGCAGGCAGACATGGAAGGAAGTGCTACAACAATGAAATGTTCAGTTTCCAGTGATTTACCCAATTTCATACAGTACCAGAAGTGGAAACAAAACCTAGATAGGCTGAGCCGAAAGCAGGGGTATAACCACCAAGCCAGTTTCCAGTCACATTTGTGGCACTTGTTGGGGGAAACACTCTAAAATAGTTTGACTCTTTCTGGAAGACTTGCCTCCAGAACGGAGTAACAGGCAACCCCACCTCTGGCACCAGAGCTCTCAACTGTAGCATTCCAAAAACTCAAGCCACTTTCCTAGCCTATTCAGTCTTAACAATTGGCATCAGGACAAACTGTGAGACTCAAATGCCAGTAACAGCTATATGAAACTCCACTGTTTATCTTTCACAACAGCCATGAACCCCTCTGTCACTCAGTTATCTCCATCTCAAGCCAAGATCAGCATATGGCTGTGAAAGAGTTGGCTGAAGTTAAACTTAAGCAAGAATTAATGTATTCTAGTAATCAAAGGGAAAGGCTTTACAATGCTGGTCCCTGTGTGATGTCGCTACTAGTCAAGGAATTTTGCCCCCAGACTTTAAGGTAGTCGGAAGTCAAGGAGTCCCTCTGTGATGCCTACTGAAACTGGCCTCCCACGTAGTATCAGCCACAAAAAATGCAATTTTTTCATCTACGTCTAGCTAGGAACTACATGCCTACTTGACCAGGTGTCCATGAACACCTTCATTATTTTCAGACTGGAATATTGCAAATCCATATATGTTTGCTTGAAATCATAAACCTTTGAAAAGGCTGTTACTGATGCAGAATGGAGCATCCTGCCTTGTCAGCAACATAGTCTACCCCAATACTTTTCCACTCTGTTGGGATCCTATTGAACAATGATTCAACTTTAGGATTCAATTTCCATTTTCCAGATCCTTAAGCACTTAGATCGAGAATAACTAACAGATTCCCCAATTTGCCAGGATCTCACCAACTCTGCTTCTCAATAACAATGCAATTATCTAAGGCTTGTGTGTGCAGGAGACAGATAATTCTGGATGGTAGACCACATGACTTTGGAATACAGTCCAACTACAGATGACCATGAACTTCACTACCTTAAGATCCAAATGCATATCCCAACATATCTCACTTTTTTATCTTGACTTTCCATGCAGCAACACTTAATCTGAATAAATACATACCAATGCCACCTAACTCACTTCCCTTAGAAAGCAGAACAGAGTATTCTGATGATCTAAAACACATTTTTGTCATGGTGGAAGAATCAGCTCCTGAATCAGGAGTGGAGAACCTACAGTGTGCTGCAGCCACTGGGAGCTACGAGTAGCCATTCCTGCAGACACTAGTAAACAAAGAGTCTGGTGGCCTGCCAGCCACTAATCCTGACTAACTGCATGTGGCCCACGGGCTCAAGAGCTGCTATCCCTACCTTAAGTAAATTAAGATGCACTGAGTTAGCTAAGTCATTTCCTATAGTCAAACTAAGAAAGTACAAGGAATCACTGCACATTCTGAGGCAACTGTATTTATATTAGATGCTGCCTCTTTATGGTGCAATAACTTAAAATTGAACAGTCCCAAAAATGAGTTCGGCAAACTTTCCCTTCATCTCAACAAAAAACTTCCCTTGGGCGTGTCAGACAAGGCTGAAATATAAGCATGATTGACACAGAACAAGCTATTTGTCTTTATGCTCTACTTCATTCATACTAGAGCACAAAAACATTAACATTTTAATGTGTCACCAGGTTTCCAAATTGCTTGGCATATAATTTTGCCTTTTTATTTATTTTTCCTGAAGAAGAGCATCTCCAGTCACTAGTGAAGCACTCGGGTTGCTTCTCTTGTTCCCATATAAGCCCTCTTTATTCCCAAAACTCTGACCACCATCCTTCCACCTGGGGATTGAGAGGATTCCCTTCAGGACTTCTCTACATCATTTATTAATTAGCTGAATTGGCTGGTCTTGAGAAGTGAACTGAATGTTGAGAAATAGTTCCCATGGTAGCAGGGAAAGATAGTGCCTATCCCTTCTAGCAAAGGAACTCATGATGCTGTATTTTAATACATAATATACCTGTGCTACCGACCGAAAGAAAAGTAGTGGTATGTTTGATCTAAAAATACTTAAAGAGTGCCTAATGTAACTATAGCAGTACAACAGTGTCAGTGATGTAGAGAAACATGATAAGACAAGATCATGTTGGCTTTGTTACACATTACTCTCAGCTGTTTTAAAGCTCTCATCAAGGGATTTTCCAAAGAAAGAGGGTATCACTGGTGACTAATATATCGTGAAATGTTATGCAGCTGAAAATCGGGAACTGAAAGATCCACAACATACACATCATGTACAAGAGTGATGCATACCCCAGAAATTAGAAAATAAGAT